CTGTTAGTGCAATGGAGGAAGATGATGAACAAGAATTGATCCTGAAATTTGAAGATGTTCAGATCCCTATTACTGTGATAGGGGAACAATTAAAAAATTGGGGTTTGATCCCGTCAAATGATGAAGTTGATGATCCTACTAAGGAAGAAATTAGAAAGCGTCTACAAGAGCTCCTAGATCATGGTATAATCTAAATTGGACACCCTAGTAAAGGAAAGAAGGAGATCAAGACAATATATGTAATTGATATCCCTTATGATGTTCCACAAGTTCAAGCTCCTATCACCTTGATGGTCATTCAATATCCCGCTCCTTTTCCATATAAGAATGATCAAGTCGTGCCTTGGAATAACGAGCCCAAAGTTTTTAAACAAGGGCAAGAGGATAGAACTTGGAGTATGCATGAGAAAAATGTGACATCCATCATAGGGCCAGGCGGAATAACTCGTAGTGGTCGAATATTTGCACCAAAGACTGTTGAAGCACCTGTCAATGCTAAGGGGAAAGGAGCTGCCAAACAGATTATAATTCATATTCCTAACACAGAATCAAAAGAAGATCCCTTATCTCCATAGGTTGTGTTCACACAGAAATAAGGTGAATAATTTTTAAAGATCATCAAGAAAAGCGACTACAAGGTAGTCGATCAGCTGAATCAGACTCTTGCAAAAATATCCATGTTGTCTTTATTGCTTAGTTCCGAGGTACATAGAGCATCTCTATTGAAAGTCTTAAGCGTTGTGCATATTATAAAAGATACTACTATAGCTCAATTTGGTGACGTAATAGCCAATGTGACCATTGGTAATTTCCTTGTATTCAATGATGACGAGTTGACTGCTAAAAAGAAAACTCATAACAAAGCTCTGCATATCTCAATAAGATGTGTGGACTATTGTTATCGACAGTTTTAGTGGACACTAGTTCTTCCTTGAACTTGATCCTGAAGACTACTCTGGTGAAATTGCCTTTAAAAGGAAACAATATGAAGCCTATAACTCTAATAGTGAAGGAGCTTGATGGATCAAGGCGGGCAGTCATAGGGGAAGTGGATTTGCATATCAAAATTAAACCAACAGTCTTCACCACTACTTTCCAAGTAATGGATATCCACCTTGGATGTAGTTGCCTACTTGGGAGATCCTGGATACATGTCGTAGGTGTAGTTACTTCAACCCTACACCAGAAAATGGAGTTTGTCTCTAATGATAAAATGGTTGTGATTGGTGGAGAGGAAGTCATTTTGGTGAGCCACCTGACGTCTTTTCGTTATATTGATGTTGAAGGTGAAATCGTTGAAACACCCTTCTAGTCATTTGAAGTGGTGAGTGTGTTGACAGTGCAAAAAATGCCAGAACAACAAGAGCCAGAATCATCCGTTGCCTCTTGGAAGGGACCCAAATCCATGATAGAGAATGGGAATGCCCAAGGCTAGGTCAAGTTGGTTGAAGTGAATGAAAAGAAATAAAAGTTTGGGATGGGATATCAGACGTCTTCAAGCACATCATTGGTGTCATTTAGTAAAAAGCAGATCCCTACTATTGAAGAAACGTTTACAAGTGTTGGTCACATCTTTTGTCACCATGTGGCGATGATCACTAAAAATACGATCATGATGAAGGATCATCAAGCTGGGATCATCGAACTGAACTTGGAGAGGAGCTCAAGAATTGAAGGACTGCTGAAATCCCTCAGTTCTTTCATCACCAAACGTAATTTTACTGTTTTTGCCAAAACCATATGCTCTGCCTAAGGTATAGTGGCATATTGTATGGGCCTCCCAAATATTTCCAAACTCTGATTATGATTAATAAATTGACAAAATGCATTCAATTTCGCTCATTTTCTTTCGTATTTTCTTTTATAATAAAATGGAAATATTTTCATGCACACACTTCCTAAAATAAACTGCATAAATCATAACATGCAGAAACACCACTGAGGTCCTTAATAACGACGCTACTATGGGCCTATATGACTTTGATTGTCCGATCTACCAAGCTGAAGACGAAGGTGGGGAAAATTGTGAACTCCCTGGCGAGTTGGCTAGACTACTCAAGCAAGAAGAAAAGGTCATCCAACCACACCAAGAAGAAGTTGAAGTTATCAACCTGGGGTCCGAGGAAGACAAAAGAGAAGTGAAGATAGGCGCCTCTCTTCAAGCTGCAGTCAAGAGTAAATTGATAGAGCTTCTTTGTGAATACATTGATGTATTCGCTTGGTCATATCAAGATATGCTTGGGCTGGATATTGATATCACTGTGCACATGTTGCCGCTCAATGAGGAATGTCCTGCTGTCAAGCAAAAGTTGAAAAGGACTCATCCAAACATGGCCCTCAAGATTCGAGAGGAAGATCGAAAGCAAATTGATGCTAGATTCCTAGTTGTAGCCAAGTAGCCATTATGGGTTGCCAACATTATGTTGGTATCGAAGAAAGATGGAAAGGTCTGCATGTGTGTTGACTATCGAGATTTAAACATAGCTAGTCCCAAAGATGGCTTCCCATTACCTCATATTGATGTATTAGTTGATAATACAACTCAATTATCGGTATTTTCCTTTATGAATGGTTTCTCTGGATACAATCAGATCAAAATAGATCTAGAGGAGATGGAGAAGACAACATTCATCATTCCATGGGGAACCTTTTGCTATAAGGCAATTCCTTTCGGATTAAAGAATGTTGGGGCAACATATCAGCATGCAATGGTGACTCTCTTTCATGACATGATTCATAAAGAGACTGAAGTGTATGTCGACGATATAAATGTGAATTCTCAAACTGAAGAGGAACACTTAGTCAATCTGCAAAAAATGTTTGTCCGATTGAGAAAGTTTCGACTAAGAATTAACCCCAACAAGTGCACATTTGGGGTTCGCCCTAGAAATTTATTGGGTTTCTTCATGAGCCAGAAAGGAATTGAAGTGGATCCGGACAAGGTCGTAGGTATTCAAAGTATGACTGCGCCTAAAATAGAGAAAGAAGTTTGTGGTTTATCGGAGTGATTGAATTACATTGCCATATTCATCTTACTTCTCACTGTCACTTACAAACCAATCTTCAAGTTTTTGAGGAAGGATCAAGCGATTGAGTGGAATGACGACTTCCAAACAGCCTTCGACAAAGTCAAGAATACCTGCAATAGCCACCAATCCTGATACCTCTTATCCTAGAAAGGTCATTCATGTACTTCACAATGCTCGATGAATCCATGGGTTGTGTGTTGGGGTAACAAGACGAGACTAAAAAGAAAGAGCGTGTCATTTATTATCTCAGGAAGAAATTCAATAAATGTGAGATAAGATACTCACTGCTCGAAAAGACTTGTTGTGCACTTGCATGAGCTGCTAAGCGTCTCAGACAGTACATGTTAACCCACATGTTATATGGATCCAAAGAACGAAAGAGTCTGAAATTCTCCTTCATCCATTCTTCGTTAAATAAGATCTTTCGTTTTGGACATCGCGGAAGCCGCCGAACAAGAACAAATTATAATTTAAGTGAGTTTGTTTAACAAACCACATGCTATGTTATATACAATAATTGAATATTTTAATTCGATTTTACCACGTTGAAAACAGAGTTTGGCACAAGAAAACAAATAGGTATGATATGGGTCATGCATAGAGTGTTTTGTACATCTTAATAATAAGTACATTATTTATGTCGTCTTAATATTAAAACTCATTAACTGGAAAAAAAACTGTCCAAAAAAGTTATTTGACAAATGGCTAAATAATGTATAGAAACAATATCCTATTCCAATACAACTAAATTCAGCTATTTTTCCTCTCATGCTAAGTTTCAAGTACATCCAAAACCGTGTGTTTCACCTACTTTCACTCTCACACGTAATTCAACATTTACTTAACTATAAGAAACTTTAAACAACCTCTTCCTTGTTTGCATGAATATAAATTTTCTTAAGAAATCATATAACACCCTAAAGCATAATATAAATAGCAATTTCTACCAAAAAGAAAACTAACAAAAGTTGGAATTTCTAATTTCTAATTTCTACATATTGACATCTAATCTAGCTAGCTTAGATTTGGAAGAAATTGAATGACAAAAAGAGAAGCTAGATACATATTTTAAAGATTACTCAAAAAACACAAATGGACAAATGAAAAAATACATGAAAAATTCAAGAGGAAGAAAGAAGAGAGAATGTTGTCCATGCAACCAATAGTTAGTACCAAAAAGGAAAGGAAAAGTTGAAAGTTAAAAGAAAAACAGATTATTGGAAGCTATCATGTCCTACTCAATATTGGAACAACTTGTAAAAATTACAAAGGTAGATTATAGATTGTGTAAAGAGGAAGAACAAATTTGTTTTACTTTCTTTTTTGTCATTAAGAAGGGCATTTTGGTCTTTGTATAGAGCAACATTCAATTTATCTACATGGTTCCACCTTTAAAAAAAACAATATAAAACTAAGTTTAGGAGTATAATTTACACAAGCACCTTAATGAATGGACATAATGTCACCAATAGTATAAATAAATCTCTGAACTTAGAAAACTTCTCAAAAATAAAATCCTTATAATTACACTTTAAAAAGATTACATTCTTAATACTTAAGCAAATTCAAAATTTTCAAAACAAATTGTTCCATACTCTAACTCAAATATTCACTCATAAGAATCATAACATATCCACTACAAATACTACAAAATGATTCAAAAAGATGTATGGAATATTCAACCTGTCATAGTAGAGAGAGAGAGAGATATCAGAACCTAACAATTCTTCCAAAAGTATATATATTACTCACATGATAAATATAGAAAGCATGATGTAACCCTTTCAACTCATTCCTTACCCTCTAGTAACTTTTTTAACATTTATTTAGTCATACTATGCTTTAACTTCACTTCTACTCAAATTTTGCATAAAACCTTCCCTCTCTAAACCTTTTTTTCCAACAATGTCTTCATCATTCTGTTGCATTCTCTCCAATAATTCATTCTAGTTTCTTCTCACTCTTCTCTTCATGATCCATTCAGGAATAATGAAGGTTCATAGAGGAAAAGTGCCTTTTCCTATCATTATCATCACAATTGGTGTTCTTGTTTTCTTTGCTGTTTTGTATGCTGAGAGACTCAGTTTTCTTTCTTCTAAGTCCATCTTCAAGTTCAAACCTTGTCCTAGAAAGAACACCAAACCAAAACCAAGTAAGTATATGGTAATTTTGTAACGATCAGGATCGTCTTATGTTTTTTGAGGCATGTGTAAGTTTTTCACAGTTCAACTGCGGAAAAATAAATACAGGCAAATTTTGAGTCATGTGCGGTAGTCTGTCTTGCATACTCTCAAAGACGGCCCTGGTAATGATGTCTCTGATACTTTGATTGTTTTAGCAGGTGAAAAGAAAGTTGAGGAGGAGATTGTGAATGAAACATGGATTGATGACAGATTTGAATTTGACACAGAAGAATGCAACATTGCTAATGGAAAATGGGTTTTTAACCAATCAATGAAGCCTCTCTACACTGACATAACTTGTCCATACATAGATAGACAATTTTCTTGTGTAAAAAATGGTAGAACAGATTTTGATTACCAACATTGGGAGTGGCAGCCAGAAGATTGTACCTTGCCAAGGTAAATTCTACAATCCAAACATGTTTGAATTGTGATTTTTTGCAAAACTTGTTTTATGTAGCTTCTACTTTTTTTGTAGTTTCAATGCATTGTTGGCCCTTAAAAAGCTTCAAGGAAAAAGACTACTATTTGTAGGGGATTCACTGCAAAGAAATCAATGGGAATCTTTTGTTTGTTTGGTAGAATGGATCATACCGGAAAAGATGAAATCTATGAAAAGAGGGATTGTTCATTCAGTGTTCAAAGCCAAGGTATTGATGCATACTAGTATTTGTTCGGTTCCGTCATGGTTGAACCGATTAAACCATGATACGGATATCTCGCCTATTCGATCTTCTATCTGATTTTAAAAACATTGTTGTGTTTTCACAGGAATACAATGCTACTGTAGAATTCTATTGGGCTCCATATCTGGTTGAGTCCAACACTGACATAAACATCATTGGAGATACAAAGAAAAGGATCATAAAAGTGGATGCTATCAAAGAGAGAGCCAAAAATTGGACAGGAGTGGATATCCTTGTTTTCAATACCTATGTATGGTGGATGAGTGGTGCCACCATTAAATCATTGTAAGCAACATAATCAATATCATTCATATTTTATTGTTCATGATCATGGTTTTAAATTGCGGTTCCAGTTACAGACACGTCTAAAACCGCCGTACACTGAGGCTGCAGACTGCAATTTAAAACCACGACATTCAACAGTTACTTAGACCATTGATCTTTACTCTTTAACCGAAGGGACGAAAAGGATTCCTAACATAAAGTTTATAAATTTTAGATGGGGTTCATTTGGCAATGGATATGAAGGATACGAAGAATTCGACACACCGGTTGCTTACAAGTTAGCTTTGAAGACATGGGCTAATTGGGTTGATTCAACTATCAATCCAAACAAAACCAAAGTCTTCTTCACAACAATGTCACCAACACACACAAGGTCATGAAATTTTTAGATTTTAGTCCCTATAATGTTCACTTATTTTGGTTTTAGGCCTTAAAAATATCATTTGGATGTTCAAGATTCTAACAACTCAAATGTTTCATTTATCAGAAGCCAAGATTGGGGAAACATGAAGGATGAAAAATGCTTCAACGAGACGAAACCAGTGAAAAAAAAGAAGCATTGGGGGACTGGTTCTGATAAACGTATAATGAGCGTGGTTGCGAAAGTTGTGAAGAAAATGAAAGTTCCGGTGACATTCATCAACATAACACAGATATCAGAATACAGAATTGATGGTCATTCTAATGTGTACACCGAAACCGGGGGAAAACTGTTAACCGAAGAAGAAAGGACTAATCCGCAAAATGCAGATTGTATACATTGGTGTTTGCCAGGAGTTCCTGATACATGGAATCAAATACTTTTGGCAATGTTGTAACACAATATATGATACTGCACAAAAATCATATGATGTTTTTTACTTTGGTTTTTGTTTTTCCTTTGTGACATGAAGATGTCCACTGGTTTGTTTGTGTACATTAATCTTTTGATTCAATATCATTTGTGTGATATATATAACAATTTTTTATTTGCAAATCAATAGTTAATTGCTTACAAGCACGAAGAAAAAATTTACTTGCAACTCCTCTATGATTTCAAATATACATCTTATGTTGGTCATAAACCACAAGAAACTATGAGGTGGTTGGTTCAAGCCTTTGACCTGGGCTTGGGGTTTCCTCAACGATATCCATGCCAGACTCCACATTTCCTTTCACACCATTGGATGAATCCTCAACAACATAGGTATCATTCCTTTCGTTACCAGATCTGCAATCGGGTGACGGTTCAATTGCATGAAAACTCAAAACTACATTATTCTCCTTAACTCATTAGGCTCGCAGAAACTTTGTGTCTAATTGGTCTAGATTATGAGGATTATTTTTTGCACTCTTAGAAGTGTTCTCCCACCATCGTGAAAATGTTAGAAATTCATCGAAGTACATGAAGAATCTCACTGCACAATTGATAATTGAAAGAAGAAACGAAAAATGATGAATTCGAAAAAAAGGAAATTAGATTTTTGAAGAAAAAGGAAGGAGGAGAATATTTCTGCAAAGTTTATCTATTCTCAAACTGAGATTTATTCAACTTTTTCTATATACAACTGCATTACATCAATAGGTAAAGTCGACAAAGTGTTTGAAGCAGGATCAAGTAGTGTCAAGAAGGAAAGTCAAGTTGGAAGTTGTTGATAGCTATGTCAGGAAACAACCTTCAGAATGTTGATATCCCACCAGATTTTACTGTGACGACTAACCCTCTATATGGTTATTTTCCTGATGAAGATCCTCCACAAGTGAACAACCTTACTCAAGTTCAGTCTGTGCAGCTCTCTGTTGAGAATCAGAATTTACATGAACAATTTGTTGTCCAAAGTGGACATTCCTCTTCTTCTGATACTACGGACTATCGCAGTTTTGCATTTTCTGTGTGAAACTCCAAAATGGAGGTCCCGGTGATGAAAACTAAGGACCTAAAAGCTCTTGAGTTTGCTGAAAGATATCGCGTATTGGATGAGAAACTTAAAGCCTTTGATGTTCAGGATACTTTTGGTCTCGATGCTTCGGACATGTGTCTGGTACCCGGCTTAGTATTACCTCCAAATTTCAAAGCACTGAGGTTTGAGAAGTACAAGGGGGGTAGTTGCCTGAGACAATATTTGGTGATGTTTTGTAGAAGAATGACCTCATTTGTGCACAACGATAAGTTAATGATCCACTATTTTCAGGACAGTTTGAGTGGGGCATCTTTGAGTTGGTACATACAAATAGAGAGTGGTCAGATTCAATCATGGTTGGACTTAGCCAAAGCCTTTCTAAAGCAATACGAATATAATCTTGGCATGACTCCCAGTCGCATGTAGTTGCAAAGTTTGTCTCAAGAGAATAATGAATCCTTCAGAGGGTATGCTCAGAGATGGAGAGAATTGGCTTCCAGAATGCAACCACCACTTCTAGACAGAGAATTGGTTGACCTATTTGTGGATATTTTGCAAGGTCTGTACCTGGATAAATTGATCAGCGGTGGAACATCAAACTTATTTGACCTGGTAATAGTAGGAGAACACATTGAGAGTGGCCTAAAGAGTGGAAAAATTTAGGATGTCTCGAGCAGTCAGGCCAGTGAAACTGAATCCTCAGTAACTCCCAAGAGGAAGAAGAGGATGTAATCAATGCAGTCATGGCAGATATTGAATATTCTCAAAGTGAACCGGTGAAATCTTTTGGTTCTTCATCTTCTCAGCAGTCATTATTTCCAGTATCATGTTATCCTTATGGGCAAACAACTGTGTATAGGGCACCATATCAGAAACCTTAAGTCGCTCCTCATGTAAATCAACGAGCCCATGGTCGAGTTTATCAGAATCAGCGCCAAAATCAGAATAGGCCTCGCAACAACTTGGAAAGAAGGAATGCTCTTCTTCATCTAGTTCCTATGTCGTATAGTCAACTTCTGCCACATCTGATTCAAAACTCATTGGTGGAGTCCAAGACTCTTAAGCCTGTGCCTAAATCTTATCCTTCTGGGTACAATCCTCATGTGCAGTGTGCATATCACGGAAGATTCATGGGACACTCAACCGAATGATTACAAAGCCTACCAAGCCAAAGTGCAACAACTAATTGACAAAGGGTACATATCCTTTCCAGAAGAAAATTTGGTTGTGCATGTCAATCTCTCATTTGTTTGAATTCGAAGACTTCAAGGGTCATCTCCTAAAAAGTCAATGGTCCAGACAGGCAGACGTCCTCAACATTGACAGTCCTTGGGCACCTTTATCATTTGCATTTATAGCTTCTTTTTTGTTAATTGCTACTTGTTTTAAACATTGTTGTTTTGAATGGTAATATTAATGAAGGGATTATGCATTTTCTGAGTTAATCATGTCGCATTTTCTCATTTTTCTCATTTATTACAAAGCACAGACACGTATACCTCTTGCTCACTTCAATTTATCATTGTTGTTTTAGCAAAGATTAGAGGGAGGATGACGAAAATTGAATACCCATAATTGTTGATCGTATGCTTTCGGATAAAATCCTGTTGATGATGTACATGCATTATTTCAAATCCCCTAAACACCGAAGAGATAAGAAGATAGTCCCTAGTTATCCACTTAGAGCCTAAAAATAGGAGTTTCCTTCGGACTTACAAACCTTCACATCTTAACCTGGGGCAAGGTAGTTGTCAGTTAATTTGACCAAGCGTTCAAATTTCAAGAAGAGTGTCCCCATTCAAGGACCAATCACATCATATCCCTCTCAAGAGGTCGTACCTCAACAAACATAATGGTTATACCTCACCGATCTAGGAGTGAGACATCCACAACCCTTTCGGAGATATCAAGATGTCACACGACTTATTTCAAAGAGAAAAAGAAAAAATAAAAAAGAAAGAAAGCCCGCTAAGTCGAGAAACTTGAAAGCAAGTGACTTAGGCAAAAATTAAGGCATCCTGCTGGATTTCAAAATCGAAAAAAAAATTCAAAAAAAATCGGTCCAGGCAAAAATTAGGGAACAAAAGAATAAAAAGGAAGGATCACAAAAGCAATATCCTCGAATAAGAATAAAGTCGTTGACTACAGACACCAAAGACGAGAGGGTTAAATGTCACTCCGAAAACCTTGAGGATTCCTTAACCATCACTCCTACCATTCAATAAACTTTTTGAAAGGTGGGCGCTTGCGCCAAGTTAGCTGAACGTAGGATTGGAGATCATCAAGAAGAAGGGGTGGCAACAATCAAACTTTGAGCCTTTCATCCTTTGTTTCAATAACTATAAACCAAACCACGATTCAACCCTTAAAAGACCTAATTGTGGCAGAGTTTATTCTGAAGGCATACCACATCGAGGTTGCGTAAACTGAATCCTACAAGATTTGCTAATTTTCTTCTTGTTGTGTCTTTCACTAGCTAAATTGGCATTGTGTCTGGACTATTGGTCCATTCGTCACTCACTATCACATAATTTTAATAATGATTGATTTTTCAAAATCTGCATGAGCATCACATTAAAATTACCATTCGTGAATGAACAATTTTAAATGCAGGTCAGCACTTGAAATTGAGGAAATTTCGACAAGGAGCAATTGAAAATGACTGGATCATTCAGTAGTCTGGATCAAAATTGAGTATACCTTGTAGCCCTACGGATCTGGGACATTGACATCTAATGAGTATGGAATCAGTCAGTCTAAGGCAAGTCCCTAAGCATCAGTTGATTATGGGGAAAATCATTCAAGAACCAGTTGATCAAAAATGAATCACCTCGAGACTCTACCCATCAAGGGCAGATGACCTAGAGATTTTGTTGATTAAGGGAGAGTCCCTCCAGTGTTCAATCAGGACAAGTTAAGTCACTTTGACGCTCATTCAAGAGTAAGCTACCTCAAGAATACATTGAGGCCAACCACTCCGAGAGTCGGTTAATCGAGGAAAAATCCTTTCATGACTCAAATTCTGGGGCAAGCCATCTCAAGGTGAACTTTCCCAAAGATCAGACTGGGGCAATTTGAACTACACTGGGATAAATCCTCTCCATGCTTTCAAGTTACTCAAGCAAGTTCTTATTTCTTTAGCGACTGTTGAGTTCAAGACGAGTGTCGTAGAATCGTTCCATTGCCTCATTAAATAACCTTAGCCTTCTGAAAAAAGCCTTGCTGCAAATGACCTCTTTTCCATTGCTAGGAATCTTCATATCCTTGCATTTTGTCATTGGGTTTCATTCCACAGCCTAAATTTGTTACATGTCAGAACTTTGTAACCAAAATCACTTCAAAACCAATTCCCGTCTAGCCAACCATTCACTAAATACCAGTTCTCGCCTAGTACATATAAGCTTTTAAACCTGTTATAATCTGGTCACCCTTTCTTTAACCAGTTCTTGTTTAGTAAACACCGTCTCAAAGTCTAGTTCTCATCTGGTAAACCACAAAGTCATTTCTCATCTGATACCAAAATAATAAGTCAGTTCTCGTCAAATAACTTAACCTTTTGCCACCAATTCTTGCCTGGTAGTCTACCCCTTTTAAATACCAGTTCTTGTCTGGTAGTTCCTCTTCAGAGTCCAATTTCATTGGTAACCAAGAATAAATCCCTAAAAAGTCCAATCACCATAAATCTGGCCCCATGCCTAAACCTAAATCCCAAATGTATTTGGAAAAATCATTCCTCGTGGCTCACACGTCATCACATCCCCCGACATGAGGCTCGTTTGATCTCACTTCTCCCTGTTGCACCCCAAAATTTGCCCAACATTTCTTTACCTAGCTTATGTTTCATTGCATTCACATTAGCATTATCATTTGCATTTCATTGACATGTGTGCAGGAGATCAAGAGGTATGATTACCAATTAAGAGCTAATAAAGAGTATG